ATTGATCGGACGAAAACTACTTGAAATTATATGAGCACACCTCAAACTCTGTTCATTAATATAATTATAATATTTTGTTCATGTTTTACAATATTGATTACAGGAGGGTTCTACTTTTGTCACTTTTGGATATTCAAGACAGAATTATGAATCAGAAGGATAAATATGCTGCAATACCCTCGGTGTCATTGGCAGAAGAACTAGCAGATTACTTAGTCGAAGTTAGTACTTATATACTTCACTTGTTGTCTTTTCCTCGGCTTCGCATAACATTATTTCAATATTAGACAATACTGAATGCATTTGCGCGGTCAAAAGCTCAACAACCTGACTTATGGCAGGAATTAAGAAATCAAATGAGTGATAGTACAAGATGGTCTCAAACTATCTCTCAATGGACTGTAAGCATAAATGTCCAATTGGTCAAATTTTTGGACCTTATGTGAAAATTATTAACTTATTGGCAATCTAATCTTAGAAAATCATGCTACGTCTTACTAAAATAATTTCGAAACACGTATATAATGTTGATCTTGATGCTCTTGAATTAGATCGTCGACTTTCAGAACTTTCTACCTCTGAGCGACACTATCATAGACGTAGACCCTCCAAAAATCGCACACGACATCTTTCTTTGCGAGGAACACACAAACATAAATCTTCTGGCAGTACTTCTTCACGTGAAGAGGTCTTGGGGGCTCTCAATGCCGAATTTTCATTTTCTTTTAAAAACCCTCCTGATAGTAATAAATCCGGTCGTCGAGCACTGAGTGTGCACCAAGATATGAATTCGTTGGATTCAAGATTGTTAAGTGGACAGCCTTTATTTAATGTTGTAAACAGCGGCCCCGCTTCATCAACACATTCTGGTAGTGTTGCATCAGATGAAGATGGTGAAGAGGTTGAAGGTGAAGATGACTTTTTCGATGCTAGTAGCGAGCTTGCATTTGAAGATCCGACTGAGCCTAAAGTATATTGCTTTTAAATGTGGTGTACTTTTTCCATTTGTTGAGTGTAACTTATTAATCAGTGGTATAAA